AGTGGGAAAGTAACATGTTCGAGGTAACACAGCACGTCTAGAGCAGGGCTGTGCTTAGAATTTACATACCTAGGTCAGTGACTTGGGAGGAAGAAGTGGGATAGGGTAGGTGAGAGGGCTGCTGGGCCAGGGAGGAGACAGAAAAGGACACCACTGAGGCAAGCAGGAAATTCAGAGAAGCCAGAGGAGGAAGAAAGGAATCTGGAAAGGAGGGCGCAGCCTTCTGTCAAGCATGGAGAGGGCATGAGCAGGAGACTTATTCTCAAAACAACAAATGAATATGGATCCCAGGCCTTTCTTGGTAAAGGCCAGGCCATAAGTGGGGGAGGGGAAGGAAGGAGGCACATTGGGCAGTATCTGAATCTATAGAGCCCAAAGGAAGTCACTCCCCAGCCTAGAGGCAAGCCTGATAGCCTCTGTAGCAGGCCAGGAACTCAGTCACACTCTACAGGCTCACCGGAAAGCTCCTCTTGAGATGGCCAAATCTGTCAGCTGCCCCCCCCCCCCCCCCCCCCCTTCACCATCTGGCCTCAGCACTGTGCTCTGGACCAGGTGTCCCTGTGTGGTAGGGTGCTTGCTTACAAGAGCGAAGGAGAAGCACCAGACAGAGGCAGATGAGAGTGCTGTGTGCAGCACTGCGGCGGTGCCCAGGTAGCAGAGGCATGTGTAAGACTCGGTAGGAGAAACTGGGGCTGCTGGGGAATGAGACACAGACACCAAAACAGAAAATGAACACAAAGCAGGATAGACAGCGTGCCAAGGGAGCTAGACAAATGGATGATGTGTTCTGGGTAAGAGGAGGGGAAAGACAGCTGGATGCTCGGGGGAGTCAGAGGAGAGCCCTTGGAAGAGAGAGAGCCTGAGCAGTGTTGGGGGGTGGGGTGGGAGGGAAGAACAGAGACAGGGGGAGGGGAGAGATTTCAGGTTGGGGAAAGAGGTCTGCCTCCGTTTTCTCATTGCTCAACGTGTCAGTAACAACAGTACCCTCCTTCCTAGGTTTGTGAGGATGGAGTTAATACATGTAAAGCATTTAGAATAGTGCCTGGCACATGGTTCATGCCCAGTAAATGTTAGCTCTTATTTGTGTCAGGAAGAAGTGGGGCAGAAAGTCAGAGAAGCCGATTGTGAAAAATCTGGGGAGAGGCCCAGATGACTGGTTAGGAGCTTGGATTACGAGTGTTTTAGTAGGAGCTCAATATCTATGCAGAAGGAAGGCATGGGGGGCAAGAGCAATGGGCAGGGTGTCGGGCACAAGGACTGTGGGTCCACTTCCTCCTCTAAGGAGTCTTATCCCTTTAAGCAAATCCCATGGCTCTGCTGGAGGTCTGTGGGCTACTGTCTATGGTGCCTTTGAAATTCTACATTGCAAAATGATGCAGATTGGGAAGAGAAGGCCGTGAGTGCTTGGTGACTTGCCTGGGTAATGAGGGGCCATGGTAAGGGAGATATCCGAGGAGATTCCAGGGTTTGAGCCAGGATGGGTAAGTTGAGAAGAACAGGTTTGGAAGAAGATGACCTTAGTTTGGACACATTGAGTTTAAGATGAGATCATAGTTCAACTAAATGTCCAGGAGATGGTCAGAGACGCAGTCTTGATTCTGGGAGCCATTCACAGGGCAATAGTTGAAAACCATGAGAATGGATGTCACCAAATCTTCTATGTGACTGAGTGATCTGCCTCTGAGGTTCTATGGCTCAGAATGTGATCTTGATGGCTCAGAAATGTTCACAAAAAGACAGGATGGTGAAAGTGAATGCTGGAATCCAGAGAAATGGAGATTTGTGGCTGCCCCTCAGCACACAGGGGGCTTGGGGGTCAGCACACAGGGAGACTTGAAGGCAACAGTCCCAGGAGATTCTGATTTGAAAGTGGCTGTCGGTGGAAGGTTGCGGCATTGTCCCTGGTCTCTGGGTCCGTTCTAGGCCCGGGCCCTGGGCTTGGCAGGGAGCCAACCCACTTCAGAGCGCCCTGGCTGCTGCTGTGGGTTTTCTTGCTCTATTCTTGCCACCCTCTCTCCCTTCAGGGGGCCTCTGACAACCTGAAAAGTCATCCCAGCCATCTTGTCACTGTCTGGTTGTCATTCATTCCTTAAGTTTAAATGGGTGTCTCCCATAAATTTAAAAATCTGTTGTATTTTAAGTGTGTCAAGCCAAAAATGTTGGCTTTGAAATGCAATTGCAGTAGGTTGGATTTCATTTAGTCCTGTAATTAGGAGCCAAGACCTAGGGGCTGACATAGAATGTTTGTGATATCTCAAATAAACCAGTGGCTCTGGGTTCACTGGGGGAGGCTTGGGGTGTTGAGCAGGCAGGCTGCAGTGGAGACTAAGGTTAGAGAAAATACATCGACGGTGGCAGTGGTATTGACAAGTAGCCACAAATGTCCAAAGAAACTGCCAGGAGAATTCTGGAGACCAAGATGGCTGAGGCCTTGGGGCACTAGGACAAGATCTATTTTATAACCTTTCCAGGATAAGGGCTTATCAAGGGTCTAGTGCCAATGGGAAATCCTCACTATATTGGACAGCTAACTTATTCAGTCAACCATCAGTGGCTGAGCGATGAGCTCATGTGCCAAGGCCAGGACAGGTGGGGGCCCTAGCAGTAAGGGGCATTTCGTATCTAATGCCCTCTGTCAGCACACTGAATATTGGGAGGGAAAAAGTGGAGAATAATAATTGGGCCTTGGGTTATGCAAACCCAGATGGGAATTCAAGCTTTTGGGGGACTCTTGAGCGAAAGTCCACTCCTGCTCAAATGCACACATTTTCCTTTTCCTCCCAACCCTTCCCACAGGTACAATAGTTTAAGAGCCAGCATCTCTGCACTCTGGGCCCGGGCCCCTTTCCTGGGTCTTGTTGCTTTTTCACTCATTGGCTTAATCTTTCCCTCACGTCTTCTCCTTGAAAATGTCACACTAATCCCAGAGATTAAGCTCCACATATGCCCCCACCTCCCTCAATTCTCTCTCTCCTCCAGTTCCCCCAAAGATGACACTTTGCCTGTTTCACTTCCCACATTCATTTCCACCCAAGCTTTTCTCAAGCTTTGTTAGTTCTTAGCTGAGTCTAGTTTAGTCCTGGGAATCATTTTTAATTTCAGTTCCCCCAGGCACGAGGCCAAATGACCCACTCAAGGCTGATAAAGGTTTGCTGACCTAGGCACAGCAAGTTCACAGAGATGAAGGACATTTCTGGATGGTTCTAAGACAAATTCTTTTCCTCTTGTCCCTGGCCCTAGGATAACCTGTCGAGTCCACAGTCTGACACGAGTATGGAATAGAGGAAAGCGGATCAGGTGACGGTTTCAAACTATTTGTAAAGTCCTGGTCAAATCAATTACCTCCTAGGCCTCAGTTTCCTTCTTTGTAAAATGATCTTGAAGGCCCCTTTCAGCTCTGACAGCCTAAGGTCAGTTGGTTTCAGGACAGCCTTGGAAATCTGAAACACTTCCAAGGCCTTCCCTCATGTCATTTGCAGTCTAGAAAGTCTACTTTCCAGGGTTTGGTTCTGTTTTAACAGTAGATCTAAGTGTCTGGTTGGACTTGGATCTGCTTCAAATTTCCAGGAGCCGCAAAGCATAATGTGTGTAATCCTTTAAGACCTAGACCCTCATTCTCCCAGAGCGGAGCTGGGAACAGACCACTCTCTGAGGGACACCAGGATGGACATGCCTGGGGTTTCGCTTTCCATAGAGGGGACATGAGCTTGGGCTTCTAAATAGGAAGCTTCTGGGAAATACTGGGTGGAGGTTGGGGGGAGGGGGTGGTGACATGGGGGAGGCCAGGGGGAATTACAGACTGCTAAAGGCAGAGACTGACCTTAGGGGTCACTGAGCTAGAGCATGGAGGACACAACTGTTGACGGTCCCAGGCCTCAGAAGTCAGCTCGGGAATAGTGCACCCCTAGGTCATGGTGCACACCAGGCAGAAAGACGGTCCCCTGCCCCAGCTGCTCCAGTCCCACAGCAGCTCCTGTAGTTTTTCTTGGCTCAGAGAAGCAGAGGCGTCCCCTGAGCCCTGGCTCCCCTCTACCGCAAAGCAACTGGCTTCCATTACCCTTGACAGCTCCAGAGTAACAGCCCAGCCCCCGGCCCCAGCCTGGCTCCTTGCTGTTCCCTTTTATGGTGAATCGGAGGGAAAGCAAGGGGGGGGGGAGGGGGAAGTAGGTTCTCGCTGGGGCAGAGGGCTGTAGCGCTCCAGGGCCTCTCCCTCACCAGAGACCCTCAGCCATCTACCCACTGTCTTTTTTCGCCTCAGTGATCCACTCTGCTCAGAACACACAGCCCGTCTCGCTTGTCCCAGCCCTCCCTCCCTCGCATCCGGGGGGTGATTTCCCACTTGGCCCAAGTCCCACGGTTTGGGTTTTGATTCCGGGAGGGTCCGCCCTATTTCCGACGCCCACCCCCGGGGGTGGGGGAACGAGCCCGGGGAAGGGAGGCACTGGTCAGATCACAGGCAGGATCGTTCCCCTTGGCGGATGTGGGGCAAAAAGGCGGGCGCCGAGGAGAGCAGCACCCGGCCGCCCAGCTCTCTCCCCATTCTGCACCGCCTCTCGCCGCCCTCTCTGCCGCCGACGGGGCCAGGGAGGGGACCCTGAGGGCAGGGCCCAAAGGAAGCACCTGGCTGGGCCGAGCCGGGAAGCAGAGGGTGGGCAGCAGCGCGGGGGGCCAGGGCAGGAAGGAGGGGTCGGAGTCTAGGGGTCAGGCCGAGCCTCTCACCCTACCACGCCGCCGCACCCTTGCCCCAGCCCGCTGCTGGGCTTCGGGGAAGCGGCCACCGTTCCGCTGCGTCCCCTGCCGCGCCAGCTGCGTCCAGCTGCGCTCCGCCAGCGTGAGGCGCGCGCCCGAGGCTCGCCCACCCACTACGGGGGCCCGTCCCGCCCCAGCCCCCGCCCCAGCCCCCGCCCCAGCCCCCGCCCCAGCCCCCGCCCCTCCGCGGCGCCTCGGGGAGCAGGCGAGACGGCGGGGCTAGAGAGCCCATTCCGGCGGAGCCGCACGGCCGGAAGTGCCTGGTTTGGGCTTGCTCTCGCTCTACCAACTTCCGGGCCGGGACTCCTACCTGAAGCTAGTGCGCAGACCGCTCCGCGTTGAGCGCAGCTGATCAGGTGAGAGGTACGCAGGAGCGCTCCGCGGCTCTTAGGCGGTGTCCGGGCCCGGGGTCCAGAACGGGTCCGGGCCTGAGCGAGGAGTGAGCCGGCCCCAGGCTCAGTCCCCTTCTCTTCTCCGCAGGATGATCACAGACGTGCAGCTCGCCATCTTCGCCAACATGCTGGGCGTGTCGCTCTTCCTGCTTGTGGTTCTCTATCACTACGTGGCCGTCAACAATCCCAAGAAGCAGGAATGAAAGTGGCGCTTTCTCCGCCCCAGGTAACGGTCCGGGGCTGCAGCGCCCAGCCCCCGGAGAGTGGAATGGCGAGGCCGCGCCAGGGCCTGCAGGGTTCGAAACTTCAAATCAGAGAGTGCCGGGCCAAGCGTGATACAGTCCAGAACTGAGCCCCTTTATCCGCACTCAATAGGGAATGCCTTACAGTGCCCTGCCCTTTCCCTCTGAAACTGCTTTCTGCTAGAATGGGGGTGAGTTTCCTAATCCTCCCCTGCCCCCATCCTCATGGTACCCCCATGCCCCAGTTGGGCCTTTGGGCACAAGAAGACACTGACACAGAGAGGAATAAAGGTACTGAGGGTGCCATCCGAGTATGCGGATTTGGGCTCTTCATTTAAGTAGTCTTCACTTCTCCAAGGTTGTTTAGGCTTTTATTTAGGCAGAATGGGGGGGGGGCGGGCGGGGAGGGGTTGTAAAGATGTAGAATTTGGGGGCAAGAGGCACTGAGTTATAGGTGTTGTCCCCTGTAGACCAAAGCTCTAGACAAGAAAGGT